AAATGGGTGGGGTAATGTACCCCTGGATTCAAACCCCAGTACTGCAAAAAGAAAAAAAGAAAGAAAGAAAAGAAAAAAAGAAACGAAAATTAAAAAAGAAAGAAAGAAAGAAATGAACAACTTGTGTGCTTCAAATGATACTATCAAAAAAAAAATGATCAGACAGCCCACAAGATGGGGGAAAAAAACTTAACAAATTATGTGTCTGACAAGGAACTTGTATCCAAAATACTTAGACTATGTAAAGGATTTTTACAAGCCAACAATGAAAAGACAAATAACCCAATTTAAAAATTGGCAAATAATTTGAATAGACATTTCTCCAAACATGTACAAATCACCAATAAACACATAAAAAGCTGCTCAATGTAATTATTCATTAGGAAAATACAAACCAAACCACAGACTCACCAGAATGGCTAAAAATCATAAAGACAAAAAACAAGTGTTAGCCAAGATATGCAGAAATTAAAATTTCTCATATTATTTGTGAGAATGTAAAATAATACAACCATCTTGGAAAATTGGAAGTACTTCAAAAAATTAGAGATTTATCATATGGCCCATTAATTCTTTCCTAGATATATACCTAAGAGAAATGAAAACATGTCCACACAAAAATTTGTACATGAATGTTGATAGCAGCATTGCTCTTAATAACCCCCAAATAGAAACAATCCAAATGTGAATTAACTGATGAAGTGGATGAACAAAATGTAGTACAGCCACATAGTGGAATATTATTCAGCAACATACAGAAAGGAAATTTGGATATACACTATRATGTGAAAGAACCTCAAAAAATGTTAAGTGAAAGAAATCATTCACAAAAGAWCACATATGGTATGCTTTTATWTATGTAAAATATCCAGAATAGACAAATTCATACACAAAGGAAAAATTCATGGTTGCCTAGGGTCAGAAGTGGGTTTAGAGGAATGGGACATGATGGCTAAAAAGCATGGGTTTTCTTTTGGGTTGTGAAAATGTTCTGGAATTAGGTAGTGATGATGATTAACAGTTCTGAGAACTGTTTCAAAACCACTGAACTGAACCTTATAAAAGAGTGAATTGCATATTTTAATTATATGTCAATAGCATTGTTTTAAAAGA